TATATAATGTATAATTCAGTGGAATAGTCTACATTTTTGTAGTGGGCCACGGTAAAGTTAGTTGTACATTTGACACCGTTGAAGCCACGGAGCGCGAATGTCCAACGTCCAGTGTAAAACTAACTTTACCACGGTTGAACAATTTTCAGTCAGGTCATCTGGACCGTTTCTTTTTTGTGCTGAAACGTTTCACCTTTGATCCGGAAGGCTTCATCAGTCAAGGAAACACACAACACAAAACTGATTCTTCACCCAACAGCTTACTCCAAAGTGGAACAAACCAGTTATGTTGGTGCTAAGATGGCCTCTTTGGCACATCCCCTCCTTCATCGCCGGTCCTCTTCCTTGTTGACGCTGGTGTCAAACTGGTTGAAAACAACAATTGTTGGATTGTGTACCTGGATTATTGAGCATGGAATTTGTTGTTTACCACAGTTGGCTCGTATACTGTGCTTAGAACCCAAAGTATACTGGTTAGTACAATGTAATCATCAATTTATGTTGATTTTTAAGCATATTGAACATTTCCAAATTTCTCTGATGCTTATATTTGAATAAATGTACAAAAAACTTTGTATAGCAGTTGGCTTTGTATTAAAAACATGTTATAGAATTTATAAAACTGTATCAAAGCAAAACACGTTCAAGTATTAAGCTGTAATTACAGAAGTATACAATAATTTTCTGGATAAGCAAATGTAATAAACAAGTGCTGCACCAATAGATTGTTACTGAGGCATTTAACTGCCTTAACGTATCAATGACGTTGCCTAATGATATGTCATACATCATTGAACACTTTTAAGTGGGTATACTGCAATTTTTGAGCCTTTCTAGTGGGTATACTCCGTATGCCCACGTATCATGTAGACTACACCACTGGTATAATTGTATGTGCAACGTCATGCATATATTTGTGTCTGCAGGGAAAACAATGCATACATATTAATAATGTTCACATTTATAAAGTTGTGTACTTGTGTTTTCTTTAAGCGTCTGGAACTGAAATGGTACACGTGTGCACAGGCCGGATTTCCACCCTCAGATAAGTGTAAAAACTTACCTGCTAGTTCAAAATAGAAACACTGTTCACATCAGGACTCAACAGACTTAAAAATGAAAACATCAAACGTCAAGTTCAGTAGATACCAACGTGACCCAAACACACTTCTGTGAAATAGATGAGAGGAAGTGATAAAGAGCGAGGGATATATTTAGAGATGAAAACACAAGTAAAACTAGGTGATGCACAGATTTCTACTGAATGTTTCAACGTTTGCGTGCAGGAACATTTTTACAAGTAGTTTTAATGTGTTTAGAGCATCTAAGCATAAAGCGTATTCACAAATGTAATTGTAGAAAATAGAAAAACTAGATTTAATTCTCGACTAGTCAGTAAGATTTGAATAAGTACTTGTTGCTTAATTTGAGCGACAGAATAAAATGAAGTTTTAAAAACAATTATAATAAACCAAAACCAGATGGGGTAGAGGCAGGGCAGCCGACTCGGGACCTGAAAGTCCCAGGTTCATCCATCCATCCATTATCTTTACCCGCTTATTCCATTTTGGGTCACGGGGGTTGCCGGTGCCCATGTCCAGCAATCACTGTGGGAGGGGCGGGGTACACCCTGGACGGGTCACAAGTCCATCACAGGGCCACATAGAGACAAACGAGACAAACAACCATTCACTCTCCCACTCACACCTAGGGACAATTTAGAGTTACCAATCAGCCTAACATGCATGTTTTTGGTCTGTGGGAGGAAACCGGAGCACCCGGAGAAAACCCACGCATGCACGGAGAGAACATGCAAACTCCGCCCAGAAGGCCCCTGGACCGGGGTTTGAACCAAGGACCTGCTCGCTGAGAGGCAGCAGCTCTACCAGTTGTGCCACCGTGCTGCGTCCCAGGTTCAATTCCCAACCATTCCCACATGTCGTGGCGTTTCTGAGCAAGACACCTAATCCCTAATTGCTCCCCAGGCACTTACAAAGCTGCCCACTGCTCCACCAGGTGCGACGGATTAAACGCAGAGAACTAATTTCACCATTGTGGTTTTTTTTTTTATCCTTAAGCATGTTTTTGTACTGAAAAAAAGGAGTGGCTCTTAATTTCATTGTACTTAATGACAAAAAAAGGCATTCTGATTCTGAACATATGATGACAACATAACACTTATTAGATCTCTTCCTGTTTTGTCTTCATAATATACTATATCTGGATTTCCTGACATAGCAACACTTTTTTGTTTTTGTCAAAATACTTGACACTTGACTTTATCAGTTTCTAATAAAGTCGAGTAACTTGTCTGTTTCTACCCACAGACCAAAAGTCGGCATGTTGGGTTTACTGGCAACTGTATGGTTGTGGGTGAAAGTGAATGTTAGTTTGTCGTTTGTCTCTACGTGTCTTTGTGGTGGACTTGTGACCTGTCCATGTGTGTCCCCTGCCTCTCACACAGTGACAGCGCGGTTCGACACCTTTTTTAAAAAGGGGAAGTTTGTTAAAACCTGCTTTCAGCATCACCACAAGAAAAAAGCACAGTGCAACATAGAATAAAATAAAAAAAAAAACTTTTTTTAACTGAATATATTATTTACGTGTTTTAATTGAAAATAAAAATACTTGCAAAACAACATTTTCCAAGTGCTTTTTTTAATCTAAAAAAATAAAGGTATCCTTAAAAAACTGTATTAATCTGATGTGTTGCATTGATTTTGAAAAACCAGTGACAAGAAAAATAGAACTATCTGAAACAACTTCAAGCTACTTTTCAAACATAAACCTGTAATAGTTACAAATGTGTGTGACTTTGTGGCTCCGCTTTGGTCATTGCTGTGGTTGTATGTTAGTGTGCACAAGTGATGAAATGTGCATCAGATGCTCATGTGAATCAGTCAAATACAATTACAGAACAAACTCCAAATAATCAAACAATTTTTTGGTTCTGTTAGAACACGTTTGACCAAAAAATGATCACCACAGTGCGGTGTAAAAACTGTTTATGGTTTATTCTATGACAAAATACACTTTTGCTTATGAGTATGAAAAAAATGGGACTTGAGCTCGGTGATAAACAGTGATGTAAAATCTTTTTGTGCAATTCTATAAAAGGTGGAAGTAACTTCTTGTTTCTGCAACACAGACACAAATGCATGCACGCCTAACCACAGAAAACAGACAGATATCTGAGAAGACTGTCGATATTAAGTGCTCAAGTCTAATTTTTTTTACTTTTTCGCTACGCATCAGCATCAATGAAAAGCTGTTGGATTAATAAGCTGAAACACATGCAGGAAATAAAAAGAACAAGAACTGTAGATAAGTTTCCACTGTTTTTAATCTCGCTATACATTCCTGCTCGGATTATCATCTGTCTTACTTGCTGTCATCCGTCTCATCGGTCTTGCTTGTTTGAGATGCTTGATTTTCTGCTTCACATGAAATGCCTTTCCATATCCCAAGATAAGCCGTCTTGATTTTTTTTATTTTAAAGGCATACACAATTGGGTTGACAGCAGAATTCACGTGAGAAAATGCAATGCCAGCATAGAAAGTTGTGACTTTTACACTTTGGGGCTGATAGAATTCAATGCAGTTCATTATGTTCAGGGGGAGCCATGAGAGGGTGAACAGGGACAAGACCAGAGCCAGAGATCCTGCCAGCCGTTTCTCTTTCCTCAGGTAATCCTGCAGCTGGTTTTGTGCACCGTTGCCTGGTTTCGCTCTAAGGTTTTTTTTAATGTAACAAAAAACACAGCCGTACAATGCAGTCATAACGAACAGCGGCGTCAAAGTGCACAGAAAAAAGTAACAATAAACCAGGTAGGACATGGGAATCACTTTGATGAACTGGCATAAACCTGTAGCATTTGCATGCTCTGAGGGGTCTTTGTGCCATCCAAGCAGGGGAGTTGAACTCAGTAGTACTGAAACAAGCCAACACATAGCCACCGCAAAATAAGAGTGTCTCCATGTTACAGTTCTTTTGTACCTACGGAGAACAACACTGGTTACTGGTAGGAACAACTCTATTGTCTTCAGTGGAAAACAAAACAACAAAAAGCCAATTTAAACAAGACATCAAAATTTAAGAAATAAACAGTAAAACATGACTTTTTTTTTTTGCAGCAAATGCCAAAAACGATCAATTTTAAACTCAACGCCATGCTTTGTGGAACATCTCCAAACTTGAAAACATCTTACCAGAGAGGGCTATACACCCGCAGGTAACGGTCCACAGCAATAGCCAGCAGGCAGAGGACTGAAACCACAGTCAACAGTATGACCACACAGCTGAGGAAGAGGCAAACATGGAACGAAGTCGTTATGCGTCTATCCACCATCACAGCGAACGGTATGGCCACGGATCCAACCATGAAGTCAGCCACGGCCAGAGACAAAATGAGGCAGAAGGTGGGCTGTTGGATGCTTTTAGTTTTCCACAGAGCCACGATCACCAGCATGTTACCCAGGCAGCACATAACAGCAATGAGGACCTCCACCAGCAAATAAATCACCTCTCCTACATCCATGTTGCTTTTATTAGAGAGCCGTTTGCAGGTCAGTGATGTGCTGTGGCGCAGTGTGAGTGGGTTATCTTGAGCTTTCGCAAGCTTTGAGGAAGTCCTCGGCTTCTTGTTTTATTCTTGGCAAATAACCAAAACACCGGTTAACGCATCTATAAATTCCAAAACTTTGCATCTGAAGTTTTAAGAATTTAATTATTGGACAAAAGTAGCAAATATAAATGGTGGAATTAAATGTTTTCCACTGTTTAGCAAATGTACGGTGCAAACTCAATGGGTCTGTGGCAGAACATATACTGCAGTAAGGAAACTAAAACCCCAGCAGAGCAAAGGGTCTGTTTCGTCATCAGTTGGTGGCATTTTCAAAGATTTTCTAAAACCAGAAAATTTGCTGCAATCACGCTACGCAAAGGATGTTTCTGCACCACAGTCATGAGAGATGTGGTGAAGAAGAAGTTGAACAACTTTATTTTTTCATGACAATTAACACAATGGGAATTTAGCAGCAGATAAGTTACACTTTAAAGAATGGCTATCCCACAACTGTACTCAGAGGTTTCAGGATGTCAGGGTTTCAAGGCAGATCAGGACAGGAGAACCCAGTTGCGCAGGCAGGACTCAGGAGACAGGCGTAAAATAAAATACTTTTTATAATAATAAATCAAAAGGCCGACATGGCAGCAAAAACTTACAAAAACAGATTCAGGAACAGGATTAAACAGGATCAGCCAGGCAGGCCAGAACAGGCAATACCCAATGAAGAACCGACACCGACAGGACTAACAGACAGACTTTATATACACAAACAGGACATGACACAGGTGATGATAATCAGACAATCAATAGAGACACAAGGGAGAAGAGACGGGGAAGGCCAACTAGATGGTGCCATCCCTACACAGGAGACACACAAAATAAGAACAAGGATTAGTTCCTGACCTTTATCTGTTAATGAGAACAAGTTTTAGATGAATCAGTGTCTGCTTTACACTACACAAGTATCAGTTCTGCTAAAACCTCATTTCAATCAACGTCAAACAAACGGTGCAACCCAAGGAGTGCCTTTCATTTACTGCAGTGACATAAATTAATTTTTTTAACTCATATTATTTTTGCAAATAAAATAATAGTACACTGTAAACTGTACACACTTGTATAATGTAAAATGTTTGTTTAAAAAAAAGAAGGTCATTTTAAATTTGACAGCAGCAACAAACTTAAAACGTGGTGAAAGGGAAAACAAAAATATCTGGTACAAAAAAAACAAAAAACAGCTGAGAGTGTGAAATAGAATAATTTCAGAAAATTGTTCTTCAAAGTCTAGGAAGACGTAATCAACTTGCATTGGGTTGAAATGGATAGATAGATAGATAGATAGATAGATAGATAGATAGATAGATAGATAGATAGATAGATAGATAGATAGATAGATAGATAGATAGATAGATAGATAGATAGATAGATAGATAGATAGATAGATAGATAGATAGATAGATAGATAGATAGATAGATAGATAGATAGATAGATAGATAGATAGATAGATAGATAGATAGATAGATAGATAGATATTTGTTTGCTTGTTTATTTATTTATTTACACTATATTGTTGTTATTATTATTGTCTTTTTTGGGGGGGGGGAATCAAAGAAGTCATCCATATGAAAGGTGATAGGGACCATGCCTGTTGCCAGCATGCAGTTGAAAAACCTGTCTCTCTGATGGTATAGGGGTGCATTAGTAACTGTGACATGAGCAGCTTGCACATCTGGAAAGGTGTCATCAATGCAGACAAAGTAAAAAAATTGTGTTTTTCTTTTTTCAAATTCATGTTTTTAAATGTATTATCAGAGCGACTCCTTGCACAGTTTTGATTGCTTTTCCTTTATCCTTTTAATTTCAGCCGTCACGTCCTTTTAGAGAAGGGAGTAAATTCACAGATTCGTATGGACCAGCAGAGCGAGTGGATCATCAACAACATCAATACATCAGAGTGAAATAAACTCATCATTAAACTGGGAGGCTGAATATAATATTGTTAATTGGAACCGGTAATAGAGCTTTTATTGTCAGGTAGTAAGTATTGCACAGGCGCAAGCGGATCTCTGCAGGTCCATAATGAAATTTATTACTACTGTTTATAGATAATGATGTTGTGCAACCAAACAGGGATGAACAACTGTCCAACAAATTATCACAGTACTGTTGTAATTATTGCTGGTAATGAAGATATTTTTGTCAAGTTTTCTTTTGTAAAAACATGCCAAATGTGAAGATTTAATTTGGACAAGAACTTTTATAGAATGGCTTTTATAAAGTGTTTTAGTGTGAGAAGGTAATTTTAGGATGCTATATAAATGTTTTATTCAAGTATTATAATGAAGTTTCTTTCCTCGGGCAGACTATTAGTTACACAAGCTGAGCATTTATATGTGCATAATGCAAAACTCAACCAACCAGTCAATTTATTTGTTTTGTTTTATTTGTCTATTTGTTTACATGGTGGTCTTTAACATGAGGAGCCAGACACTGTATTGAAAATTAATAATTCATGAAGCAAAATAAAGTAGTTTTTTTTTCATTAGATATTAATTATTTACATTTGACTGACATGAAAGATAAATTGCTATTATTGAGGGAGTGGGGGTCAAGAAACGCACAAGATGCAAAATAAATAAGTAAAAGAAAAAATAAAAGAACACCAAAGAAAGAACTGAACTACAATGTTTTACATAGTTGTGTTATTTATGTATTTTGCTTGTTTTAAATTATGTACTGTGAAGTTTTGAATCATTCCCCATTTTTTTCAAGGAACCAGCGTCATTTGCAATAATGAGGGTGTTGATCCGGTTTCTGTGGTGAAGAAGGAGCTGAGCCAAAGGGTTTGGGGTTCTATGCCTATTTTAGTTTTTTTTTTTTTTTTTTGTCTCTATTCTTTACATTCAGGGCGTTGAGTGTTTTTGTCATATCGTGTGTCCATTGGGTTGTTATTGGTCCTTAGTATCATCTGAATTTATTTAGATTTTCTGTTATTGACTGGTGTTTCTCTCTGTGATCCCTGGTTTCTGCTCATAGTTCACCTGTTCTTCATTTACTTATCAGCCCAGCTGCTGTCCCTCAATATTCTCTTTCTCAGCCCATATATACTGCTTGCTTTATGAGCTCTTACTGTTTCATCTTCTACATTCTTGGTATCAGCTTCCCAGTTGATTTGTATTGGGGTTTTTTTTTCCTGTAAGCTTCCTTTGTTGCATTTCTTAGATTCTGAGCTGCATCATCAGCTTTAACCTTCGATAACATAATTTTACATGTCACTTGTCCTAGTTTGCACTTTGTGAAATATATTAGATGAGAGATCCTAATCATGACACAAATTTCTGTGTTCCACCTTCCACCTGTGGTCATGAGATCTGGATCCCTTGACTGAAAGAAAGAGATCCTAAAAATCAAGGGGCTGAAATTAGTTTCTTGGGTGGTCCTTCTCAGCTTTAGAGAGAGAGAGACACTGATCTGCAGGGAACTGGGAGTAGTAGAGAGTAGTCTGTTATGATCAGACACAAGAACTGTCCACAGTTCGTGTAAATTTTACTGTTTGCTCAAAACTGGTACATAACATTATGCACAATGCATATTATGATATCAGGGGTGCCATGCACATAATGTATTTTTATTGGAAACCGTGGGTTTGATGTTGATCCTGCTTTTATGAGAATGTTTCATTGAGTCTCAACTTTCACCTTCATTTGTTGGTTTGGACTTTTGACGTGCAATAATCAGGAACAAACTCTCGGGGATTGTCAGGATGTGCAGCAAAACTGCTGTAATAGCCCTACAGAACCTCACTGAGCTACACAAGGTGAGGTCAGAGAACAAGGTCAGGCTGATTCTGGCAGATCCTGATCATCCACTCCATGGTGAGTTCAGGTTGCTTCCGTCTGGACGCAGATATCTGCTGCCCAGTTGTAGAACGAACGGACTGAAAAGCTCATTCATCCCTGTTTCGATCAGGCTTCTCAGCAAACAGGGATGATTTCATGTATTGTTATTTTTGTGTCTTAATGTCTTGTCTAGCATGGATGTTTTATGTTCCTACTGACTGTGAATCAAAGTGACCCTTGGGACTAAAAAATATACAAGAATATGAACTCTCAGCTACAACCACATTAAATTGAGCTCAATATCTAAAAACAATAATAAAAAGTTTTGATTTGGCTTGCAATTTTATTGTTTTTCATCCATTGATTCACAAGATTTTTTTTCCTACAACATTGAACCCAAGTGCAGACAGACACGGGGAACATGAGGGTAAAATAAAAGAACTGTATTTTAGTAGAAACAAAGAAACAAAACAAAAGCTGTCACGGCAGCAAACATTTAATACACAGGATCAGGATGACACGGAGGAAACAGAGTATGACGACTATGAAAAGCACAATCAATGGACAAGGGACAACCAGAATAAGACATTATTTAAAGACTAAACTAACAAGACCTGGGGGGGGGGGGGGGGGGGGGGGATAATCAGGAGCAGGAGAGAATGGGCGGAGCAGGAGCTGGCGACAAGAGGAGAGAAACCCTGGGGATGCTGGAAACAGGAAAAAACAGACTCAGAGAATTACAAACACCACAAAACACACAGATATGACACAAATAGGGTTGACTTTAATGTTTAATGAAAAAACTGAAGGCATTACAGCCATGTTGAGTTTAATATGTTTAGTTAGTTGTGGCAGCCCTCTTGAATTCGATTCCAAAAGTTAATCGTTTAAGCTGTAAATCCATTGATTACTTCATGTGAGGTTGATTAAAATATGTCTAGAGATAGATGGGGTATTTTGCTAACACAACAGATAGGCACAAGGCAAAGGCACAGGGTACAACCAGGTGATAATGAAGAGTGTGTTGAAACTCGTGCACAGTTTTGTATTGTTTTTATTGCGTCTCTGGAGTAACAGTTCATGGGACGTCAAAGTGAGGACAGAAACATTCGACATGAAAGCTTTAACTCATGCACCAAACCTGGGATCGGTCAGTGTTCTTAAATGAAATCTACAAATCATTGTTGCCATTTTTATTTTTATTTAAAATGTATGTGATCTAACAAGATATATTTACAAGGGCGACTATCGATCTGCTTCCTTCAAGCAAAGCAGCGATCGCTTGCTCAATGAGTCTTGCTGCCAAAGACTTTTTCATTCTTTGATGGGCGATTAGATAAAGTGTTTATACGTGATTGATGCTGCCATTTAATTTTTATCATCTCATTTGTTGGAATAAACAATACATAGTGTAGAATTGTGTAAATAAAGCCAGATTAAAACTTTTAACCATTTTTTACAGCTCTTTTATTGTTAAAAAAAAACAAAAAAAAAACACTTGCTCTTGTTCTGTTCTTTGGTTTTCTGTTTTTTTAAATGCTGTTTTTATTGTATTTTCAATCATACTCATTTAGATTATTAACCACTTCTAATGAATTCCCATCCTCACAGCTTAAACACATGCTTTCAGTTGTTATAGTGCCCATTTCCTCTCGAGACGTGCACAGAGACACTCATGCACACGAAGCGCTCACTCACCAGCAGACACAGTGTTCAGAAGTCCTGCTGCAGAGTGCTGCAGAAAACACAGTCCCTCCCCTTGAACTTGTGACTCGTTTAGTACAGACTTGTGAGTGAATTGGAGGGAGTGAGATAGTAAAGAGTGGGAATGCACTGGTACCCAGTCCTCAGAGCTAATTTGCTGCTGAGAATTGATCGTTCAGCGAGCCTTCATCAGCACGAACTCAAATGTGGGAGGAAAAGAAAAGCTTACTTATCTCAGCTAAACTTTAATGGAAGATGCTTTTCCTGATGGAAACCCCAAACTGGAAAGAAGATTAAATAGTTTGGCTCAGTTTCAGTGCAGTTGGATCTGTGAGGGATAAAAATGACGTCTCCAGGTATCATGCCACAGAAACATGTGGACATAATCTACAACTCCATTGAGACAGCTATTGCAGTGGCATCTGTCTTGGGGAATGTTCTGGTTGTGCTGGTGGTGTATGTGAACCGGGCTCTCCGCAACACCACCTTCATCTTCATTGTGTCTCTGGCTGTGGCTGACATCGCTGTGGGAGCTTTGGTCATCCCCGTGGCCATCGTCATCAATATGGAATTTAAAACCCAGTTCTTCACCTGCCTCGTGCTCTCCTGCCTGCTGCTGAGCATCACCCAGAGCTCCATCCTGTCCCTGCTGGCGATAGCCATCGACAGGTTTCTGCGCATCAAGATTCCCACCAAGTGAGTAACTCTTTCACCACCAGATGATTACTTTTTTTTTTTAACCAACAAATTTTTAGTTAAATTTAAACTAAATAATTCATATGTAAAGCTCAGTTTGATCAAGAATGTGTGAAATGACAGGTGCAGTGACAGAAATGTCCATTAATAATATCATCTGTGTGGTAATTTATTAAAGTTAAGGGAAATTAAATATTAATAATGAAGAACAATTATAAGCTTTCTAAATGTAAATGATTTAAAGTGCACCTACTATGTAAAATGTTTTTAAGCAAAAGTTTTTAATATTTATTAGCATTAAAAATAATCAGATAGAATTTATTGACCACAGTCAGTGAAGTTTTTTTTCTTCTAATTACTTAAAAACAAATGATTGTTCTAGCATTGCCTTCCTTTGCTTGTCCTTTTGTGGAGAGTTAACTTGGTGGTGATGGTGAGGCGGGGGTTACTTCATAAAGTCAGCAAAAGGAGGACTCGTGCACCATTCATCATTCTCTGCTTTCATGCAAATCAGTGTGCTGAAGACCAAAACCTTTCAAGCAAATTAAAATGTCTTTCTCCAGCAAAATTACCGACAATGGTGCAGTTTGGTCTACATAGTTGGCAGGAGCTCAGTAATGTTTGTTTATCAGCTGGATCCTAAAGTCAAATGTTAGCACTTGAGAAAATGCTTCAGAGAAAAAAATCATCTCTGGCACTGCTTCAAAGAAATGCCATTACGACTGATTAGAAAAACTAACGTTTCTTTATCCCATTACGTTGCCCAGGTACAGCACCATAATGACCCCAGGGAGGGCGTGCGTGGTGGTCTGTCTATGTTGGATGCTCTCCTTCCTCAGTGGACTGGTTCCGATGATCGGCTGGAATAACCTCAACGATGGAAATCTCAGCCGCTCCAGTGAGATCGTCTGCATGTTCACCAATGTTATTAGACTGGACTACATGGTGTACTTTAATTTCTTTGGCTGGGTGGTGGTACCCCTGACCATAATAATCATTATGTATGGGGAGATCTTCCGAGTGATTCGAAAGCAGCTCAATCGCCGTGCTGAGGCTACTTGTGATGGACAGCGGTATTTCAGAAAGGAGCTGAAGCTGGCCAAGTCATTGGCCTTGGTGCTCTTTTTCTTCATCGTGTGCTGGTTGCCGATACACATCGTTAACTGCATGACCTTATTTTGCCCCAGGTGTGAAATACCAAAAATTGCTTTAAATGTAGGAATTTTCATGTCACATGTGAACTCAGCCATCAACCCCATGGTTTACGCATTCAGGATAAAGCGTTTCCGTCTCACGTTGATCCAAATACTTCGCCGCTGCGTGTTGTGTAAGCCGATGGAGCCCACCCCGTGCCCGACCAGCACCTTAGGTGTGTCTGAAAAACTGGATGTAAAACTGTAGCATGGACTGCAGAATTTCATTCCTTGTCCCAGAGGGGTCACATCAAGAAAACTATGAGACTTTATGAACTACATGGAGACTGGTTTATTATAAAAGAAAACAAAAAGCACTTTAATGAGTCAGTGGACATGTTCTTTTCTGATTCAGTCATGAGTCTTTTAGTGCCAAGGTGAAAAAAGTAAAACAAATGAATCAAGTCATGAATCATCATTCCATGATGTTTTGCTTTCTTTCAGCGTTGTATTATGTGTTTTATATTTCACATGACAATTAGTTGATAATTAGTTAATAACTGTTGGAGTCAGCCTCCCCACCATCACAGACATCTACACCTCCAGATGCAGGAAGAGGGCCACCTGCATCATGAAGGACCCCACTCACCCAGCACACACACTTTTTGCCCCGCTCCCGTCAGGAAGGAGGTTGAGGAGCATTAAGTGTAGAACCACTAGACTGAGGAACAGCTTCTACCCTAAAGCTGTTAGACTCAGGAATCTCTAACCAGGATACTGTGGAAAAAAAATCAGTGTAATGCCACTTTAATATATATATATGTGACTTATCTGTGCTGCTGATTATCCATGCTGCTGATCTCATGCTGCTGATTATCTCATGCGGCTGTATTCATTCATTTGTTCACCACAGACTCAAGTTCGGAGTGCTGTTGTTACGCAGTATTGTTTTACATTATTAGTGTTCAGCGTATATATTAGATCTTTTAGCGTTTGTTTAGCGTATATCTTGATCTTTATTTACTGTTTCTTTTTATACTTTATATTTTGGGTGTAACTAGGACCCTGTGTACATAATTTCATTCCACCTCATGTACCACATGTGATGGAAATGACAATAAAGTTGACTTGAACTTGATAATTAACATTTGCTGCTTCAAAAATTCTTCATAATAAGCAGTTTCTTTATAGCTTTTTAGTGTATGAAACATGCTGTATCACCTATTTTACTGCCTGGGTATCAACCAGTTTTGATATTTTGGTACTTTAGATTTACCTAAAAAAAATGTTTCTGGACTTAAACTTTGTATGTGAAGTTGTTTTAATTCTGGTCCAAGAAGCACAATTCAAAGCTGGCAAATATAATTAACACCACAGCTGAGCTGGATAGGGAAAACTACTTCACATCAAATTAATTAAAGACAACTGACTATTTCAGTAAAACACAATTTGTAAGAAAGAAAATACTATGAATAAAGTTATAAAATGACCAGAAAAATCAGATTGCACCACAATGGCTGATGTCAAACACAGACAGCCATCGTCATTATCTTTTATGCCACAGTTTCTGATGAACAAAATAACCTTATCAAATTATTTTGTTTTACTTCTAACAAAACTATTTGACAGTGAAGTCTCCCCTCAGATATGAATGCTAATAATAAATTTGCAATAAGTAGTTTTTTTATTGTAAAGTATTATGTGAGCTTCTACTGTAAACTTAACATATCACTGGTTTCATCATGAGTTTACAAGTTGAACCTTAGATGATTTTTTTATTGTCCTTCAGAGTATTGTCCTTTCCGAGGGCAAGCAAAAACAAAATGCGGACTAATGGGCAAAACTAAACCATTGCTATCAAGCACTGATTAATATTACACAGAGCAATTCCTCATCTGTAGAAATCATTGCACTGTTTTAAGATTAAATTGTTGTTGAACGCTTTCTTCATGTGAAATCACGTGGAAAACCACGCGAACACATAATGTTAAAAATGTTCTAAAACTACATGTTCAAACACGTTTCTTGTGTTTATTTTTGTTTCACAGATGAAGCCATATGATTTGCACGGAAAGTTCATGTTTTTTTTTCTTTCCCCCACAGTGTGAACTTTTGATCAAACATTTCCTTTTTGAAACTAATGAACGTTTTATTTAAGTAATCACAAAAGCACCCAGCGCAAAATCAAAAATCCAAGTAGTATTGCAGTGTGATCAATAGAAAGTGCTCTGTGGGCTCTTTAATGCAGTAAAGTGGATCATTACATCGCCTCATAAAAGTAAAAACTTATTACGTTACTTTACTAAATAAAACAAAACTTTACTAAAAGCCCAAGTTCAGCCCAAGACTTTATCACGAGAAGCAGGAATCTGCTGAGCTAGTCCAGATTGTTGAAGGCATTTTTTTTTTTTTAAGCTGTGGCAGAGAGGTGAAGGCAGGGGAGCATTTGAGTAAATGAACTAAAGCCCATTATCCTGATTTATTCCTACAGTAAAGCTGTTATGAAGCTTCAGCTAAAGGTCCTGCAACAATTCTGCTTTGTCATCGGTTTGACTTCTGCCCAATTTCACACTCATACTTAATAAATTAAAATAGTCAAATCAGGGTATAGAACCTTAAAAATGGTCTTATCAGCATAGTTAACATCAAGTTATGGGTACTTTAAACCAAACCTTTAGTCATATGTTCACATTTCTTCAATTTATGAACAAAAGAAACTTGCACATGACACCTCTTTGTCTTGTTTGTGTCAGTCATGAGCTCATTAATACCTACAGCGTATTACCATCTGTCACCTTCATCCACTGGAGGGATTTGAAACTGCTGAGTCTGGTTTAATCCTCAGTCCTTGTCTCAGTGGCCAAGCTCTCACGTAGGCGTTCATACAGACATTTTGACTATGGAGGCCTAACTCGTACTGAAAGAGAAGAAGCATGATATAAGTGTGGAAACAAGAAGGCAAAAGTTTCCATTTTGTGTTTTTGTCTTGATTTAATTTAAAATACTAATTTTTTTCAAGGTAAGAAACTTATATGTCATCTGCATCAAAACTTTTAAGGAAGTTATATTTACTTTTATTTTGAAAAAAAAAAGAAAAAGTAATGTTTTTGCTTACGTTCTCGAATCTCACAGTTAAACCAAACATTTGCAGTTGTTATAAAATGGCTGACACTGGTGGAACGGAGCGCAGCCAAGACCCAGAGGTACCAGAGGAAGACCTGGATGATGAACTTCAAGCGTTACTGCACTTCAGCAAACACGGAGATGGTCGGCGTGCTCAACCATGGGAGCAGTGGACCTTCAGAGAAAAGGCAAACTATTTAATGGACCGTATCTTCCTCGGGTTTTTGATTCTCTGTCTGATTGTGCTGCTGTTTGAATGTACCTATAAGATGTGGTATGTGTCAAACATGAAGAAGATGGCACAGTTTGTGTCAGACTCTGTGATTTTTCTGTTTGACTGGCTCTTCACACAGGAAAGACAAGAGGAGCTAGTTGAACTGTAACATGCAGTGATATGTACTATTGCCACTTTTTGTATTTCAGATGATATTAAAAGCAAACTTGGCAACACTACTGTAATCCTCTGAAACTAAATCTGCTGCTTTACTTGTAATTTTTTTCTCTCCAAAACTTTATTTCTGACTGTCAAATGATGGCAATAAATTGTGTAACTAACTGTCTGATTTGAGTCTCATCAAAATATTATACATCACATGTTGACACACTTACTGTATTGTTGGACTATACAGCTTTATTTTGAATTTTGTGTCTGCAACATTTTTTCTGATAACCTGGAAAAACTGTAAAGAACTAAAAAAACATTGCAAAACAGTGAAAGAAACAAGGATTGTCTTGAGTGTGACATTCAAACCCCTGGGCTAATTTTGAATAAAAATAGTAGCTTAAGAACAGACCTATAAAATCCACATTTACTGTGTGACATTTATCAATATAGTTAAAATGGAAATCTTCCAAAAGTTAAAATATGCCTTTATGAGAGTCTAATGAAGCATACATGCAATTTGGAAATAATGGAAACCTTCATTTTTCAGCACTACATAGCTCCAAACTGAACTGATTATGCAGTTTCAGTGCATCATAGCAGGAACTTAAAAAGTGAATACCACACAGCTTATTATCACTGTTATTACTATTTTATATTATTATATTATGTACACACCTCAGTACTAAACATGTAAAAAAAAAATATATCTAATAACATAAAATCTATGACTAATACGTCAGTTAACAGTCATTCTCACCAACCAATCAAATCAACGCACCAAGGCTCTTTGAACTTCCGGTTCCGCCTACCGTCCTCTTCCGGATTTCTTAGCGTGACCGACGTTTCGTGTCTCTTTAGACTTAAAGTAAGTCAAAAAGACACGTTTTTAACTGCGTTTGATCGGTTTTTAAAATGTCCCATTATGTTTTTGTTTACACTCACACCCCATTGCTGTGTTTATTTTGTATTTGATGTGGTATTTTGTTGCGGTGCGCAGTTAGAAACACCGACTGAGCGCCATCATGATGCTATTATTAATCTATGAAACAAAAGGACACGCTTATCTCTGTGAAATGTTATCCTGCAATCTGCCGAATCTGCAAATAATAAACCCATTTTAGATGCTTCTAGTTTACCTGCGTGTCATTTTTGCCAATGTTCAGAATGATTCAATAAGCACATGCTAATGTTGGCTAAGCTAACGCCAACATGTGTCTTAATTAGACTCGTGCTTAAGTCACTTGATTTCTGCTGGTTTTATTCACCAGTATATTCTCTAAAACAATTATATGCGCATACAGTGTTACTCAGGTACTTTATTATTGGTTTAAGTTAGCAGTAATTGATAAACATTGCCTCAGTCCGTGTTGTTGCTGAAGAACTTTGAATATTGTAATCGCATTCCATTAGATTTTAACTCTCTTGTTTAAGAGAACAATCAGACTAGAGGATCAGGATGTAAGATAGTTCTCACATATTAAGTTTGACATTTCACAGTTTTTCCCCCACAGGTTTTATTTATGTTTGCAGGTACTGGTGTATATAGAAACTTGATACAAATCAAGTTCAAGATTAGGCTTATTTTTAAAGGAAACCATGATTAGTTTTTAAAAATAGACTTTATTAGAGGAATGTTTATTTTAGATGTAAAAACAATACAGTCAAAATATTGTAGGCTGTTTAGTTTGTATACATTTAAATAAAATATTGTTACTCAAGGACAAGGAATTCAATATCGTTTTAAAATCTCAAGTTTTTTTGTTCCCATGTGTTGTAGTGAACTGAAAAAGACTGTAAAAAAAATCTTGAAGATGTTAATCAATTTAAGGTTTTGCAGTGCAGTTTTCTTGTAAATATATTTTACATCCACATTTTTCATGTTTATTTCAGAATGCGTTACGTGGCCGCTTACCTCCTCGCTACCCTGGGTGGCAACAGCAGCCCCTCTGCCAAAGATCTCAAGAGCATCCTGGGTAGTGTGGGAATCGAGGCCGATGACGAACGCTTAAATAAAGTAAAATATTTTCTGGTGGCTTGTTGTATTTTATTATAATAACACTTTCTCTGCATACATATTAAGTGTTGTTCTCACAACAGGTCATCAGTGAGCTGAATGGAAAGGACATCAATGAAGTCATGAACTCAGGTAAATGATTTCGAACACGCACAGCTGTGGAATTGGAAATTACACATTTAAATTGGCTAATAATGGGATTTATTTTTATTGCAGGCCTCTCCAAGTTAGCCTCTGTACCAGCAGGTGGTGCTGTAGCAGCACCTGCCGCCGCTGCTGCTGCTGGTGGAGCTGCTGGAGCTGCACCTGCTGCTGGTATGTATGATTTTCTAAGCACAAAGTGCCAAATATAAGCAAAATTTTAAATGGCATTAGTCTTGTTTTGCTGAATTTCAAACGTTTTCTTGCTCTTTTCACTGAAGTTAGTGGATTTATATTTAGCAAGGCCGTTCAATATTTTAGTCACTCTTCTCCTACATTAAATAGTGTTAAAACACCCATCCATTATCTTTACCAGCTTCTTCCTTTTCGGGTCACGGGGGTCGCTGGTGCCCATGTCCAGCCATCGCTGTGCGAGTGGCAGGGGACACCCTGGACAGGTCTCCAGTCCATCACAGGGACACATGGAGACGAACAATACAATCACTCTCTCACTCACACCTAGAGACAATTTAGAGTTACCGATCAGCCTAACGTGCATGTTTTTGGTCTGTGGGAGGAAACCGGAGCACCCGGGGAAGACCCACGCATGCAGGAGAGAACATGCAAACTCCGCCCAGAAAGGTCCCAGGCCGGGTTTGACCCGGGGCGACCTGCTCGCTGAGAGGCGGCAGCTCTACAAACTGTGCCACCGTGCTGCCCAGTGTTTAAACACTTTTTTTTATTTATTATATTATTGTTTGTAACTGTATTTATTGTTGTTTACTGTACTCTGTCTAAAACAGGTCTCTTAAAAATGAGTCCTTGTGACTCAATGAGACTATCTGTATAAATAAAGGTTATGTAAATAAAACAACTTTTTTTTATGTTTTCAGCGGAAGAGAAAAAGGAAGAAAAGAAAGAAGAATCTGAAGAGTCAGATGAAGACATGGGCTTCGGGCTCTTCGAATAATCTGCCTTTTCTTTGTTTAAAAAGCAATAAAAATGTAAAAGGTTTACAGAAACATTTGTCTTTTAGACCCTCATTTTTTTCTTAAAATGCTGTTTTTTTTTCCCCTCCCAACAATACTTAACAGGCGAGATGAGGCAAACCAGACACAGTTTGTCAATCCAGATCCTGCATGTCTGGTAATCCCATGAAACCACATACTGTTAACTCATAACTGTTGAATGAGGCAATGAGCCACACGCTAAGTTAGTCCTCCGTTACTGGTACATGTTTTCTGAAGTTTTCAAAGACTACTGGTAGTTTGTCTTCTTCACAGGACGTGAAGAACAGTTAAAAAAAAAAAAAGTTATTCGTCTCCGTAGGGAAATTGATTTGCAGCATTGTCAGCAGGCATTTACATAAAGGACATATACATTATACAAACATGAAATTAACGTGCATAATTAACTACGAGCTCAGTAATTTATACCTTTTTATTTGTGCTTGTAGTATGAAAGAGAAATTTGTCCCATTTTATTTTTGAGAATAAATGAAAGCGGTACCTTGAAAGAAGCAACTCAAATGAGGATCTTATGGGGTGTGTATCATCTGCTATAATCTTGTTTGCCTTCCTCATAACTGTCCATGTATATTTTTTCCATACTTGGCAGAGTGGTCCCTGGCTGTTACTATACTTCAAGGATTTCTTCTGAGCCTTGCCAGGCCAACAGATGTTACAAAACGTTAAAATATTCAGGTTCTGTTTTCAGTTCAGTTACTAAAATATGAACCCGTTCAACGACGTAAAAGGAGAAGAGGTTGGTGCTTGGATATGGTTCGCTGATCATTTTCAGTTCCCACAATTTAAATGTCTTGTCAAACTGGATTGCCAAACTTTTAAACAAAAGCTGGCACAGAGCAGACATAATGAGCGTTTTCCTGATTGAAAGCAAATATTCCACTTTGTGGTGTGATGTAATGGCTCAAGAGAAACGTGACCGTCCCTTTGAAAATCATACAATCAGTTTTGCTTCTGGTTACCTCATCATGGAATTTGTCAAACCTGTGGTGCAATTCCTAATTTTCCTCTACCCGACTTGTTCATTCACTTTTCATTACCTTGGCCAATAGTTATTTTTGCCTTAAAGCCGAACAAACGCGTCAGTAATCATTTCCACCTAGCAGTGGAGCTGTTTTGCACTTGTCAGTATAGAATATACTCCAGGGACAACTTGTCCCATTTCACAACACATGCATTTACTGTACATTATATAGTAAATTAATTTGAAATAGGACTAGATGCACCAAAATCCCCTTGAGCCCACTGTGTTTAAAGCTATTTATAGCTCTCTTCTACAGCTGAATCACTGCACAGTCATAAAATTGACATATTTTCTCATTTATGATTACCTGGCACACAAAGCTGGGGATTTATGTTGGGGTCTGCCAAGTGATGATACTCATACTGTGCGCATGATTTGTTACAAAACAGCAAGTGGCCGCACTAGTTCTTACCACAAGTTTCATTCTTGGAGAATGCTTTCTGAAGCACAATCATGAGGAGTGACTCGGACATTTAAAGTGTTTAAATCCCCAAAAAAAAACAGTTATTTATGACAGTTTGTCATATCGTTAAACTATTTTTTCAACAGTTTGTTTTAAAGAAGGCACATTAAGTGACTTGACTTTCTCCAAAACAAGTTCAGGCATCTCTTCCCTCCAGCTGTTTAAATGCTGTGACTCATTCTGTGATTTTATCCCCACGTCACGAGAAGGAGCAGCAACCTCACGGAACAGTGCAGAATAATCTCATGCACCACGAGCAGTTTTACTTTTAGTTTCGGCGCTCATAAATGAAGAAGCAGTAAAGCCTGACGTGCATACATGTTTTAATAAAATCATAATATGAATGCCAGCATTCATAACAATAAAAAGTCACAGTTCATTAAGCCAAAGTAAAAAAATACCAGTTGTCTATGCATGAAAAGCTTGTACCGAGCCTTTTGTAATATTACAAATTTACAATTCAATTTGGCAAAAGGTACTTTGTCAATCACCTTGCAATTCTGACATTGTGATTTTGCAGGACTACTTCGTGCTTATTAGGACCACATTCTTTAAGATCTTCCAAACAGAAGCGCTCGTATCTCCAGAGAATTCAGTTTCTTGTTGATGCAGCACACGTTCACAGATTTTTAGTCAGAAATTAATTAAATTCTACTCAAAGTTGAAATTGCGTGTCCTTGACGAGCTTTGAGATGATGAAATTGTGTGTACATCATCTCTAATCACATCTGTGGAGTCATTTGTGCGGCAGGACTTGAGTCATCGCTGTTGGGACTATGGATGATCTGTACACGCCTGTAAGGGACAATAAAATATATTTAAACAAACTTTTTACTCAAAAGGCTACACAGTTTTTATCAGGCTGAAATAAGAAAAGCTGCAGATTCATTATGTATTTGCAGCCCCGGCGGTTAAAACACGATTTAAACATAAATGTTTGCCTTAAAAGGTTTAATTCTGCTCCTCACCTGCGTGTACTCAAATCGATCCTGCAGATAGCGGTTCCCGAGACAAGTGATGTGGCCTACGTTCTGCTTGGAAAGTCCAGCGATCCTGGCGGTGAAGTCCAGAGTAAAGGCCAGTTTGACCAGCTCAGGCGCCGTTGGATGTACGGTGGGAGGATTGTGGGTCGGCGTCGTCGTCGTCTCTTTCTCCAGATAAGCGTCCGCCAACTTCTGGAAGGAGGAGTAAGTCAGTCGCTGGAAGAAGTTGCTCAGGGTGGGGTTATCTTTAAGCTGGAGGAGATCAGAAAACAGGAATGTCAGGAAGTTCAGTGTTTTGATGTGTAGGATTATTACGGCAAAGTCAATATTTATTTTGCTTTTATTACAGCCCCTATGATCCGTCTGTGCTTCATCAATAGAACAGTCTTTGGAAGCTGAGAGCTGTAGGGCAGAGCGGCACCTGGTGATTATGCTTTATAGTCTAAGACATAAAACAAATTTTACTAATTAGCTCTTTGGGAATATATTCACTCAAATTTTAATTTTTAGCTCTGAAGCTTTATGTACTTTTATGTTTTGGGCCTATACTAAACTATTTGATGTTTTTAGTTTGCTAACTGTAACTGTACATTTGATAACTAATTATTACCATGTTACTATAGTACACATTTTTTATAGTCTTCTTAAAAAGATGATGAGTTGGAACACAAGCAACATTTTATTGTTCAATATTTTATCTTTTGTAAAATGTCCAGGTATCATTAAGATACTTCTCCTTTTTTCTGAAAGTCTTGCTCAATATGGCAACCCCTTTTGAACACAAACGTTTTTTCATACTTGGAAAAAAATCCCCGACATGAATTAGGAGTAGACTATACGATTATGTGGGGTTGTGGTGGCGCAGTGGTTAGAGATGTTGCCTGTGATCGGAAGGTTGCTGGTTCAACTCCGCGGATGGACATCAAAATGTGGGTGGAAAAGGTGAAGCATCCACACCTGCCTCCACCTTCATTTGCCCCACTCTGGGCACTTAATTCCCACCATTTGCTCCCCAAAGGGCACCCGGCGTAAAAACTATTGTCAAGTCTTCGTGCAGGTTCACTGTGGGTCCCCTGAAGAAGGGAGCAGCCGCCAGAAGACGAATGTCCTAACTGAACCGTCTGTTTCAGCCATGAAAGAACGAGTTACAACACAAGGAAAAAAGAAAAAAAAGTATTTCCTGTTATAAATTATTTCAGTAAATGATATTTCAAAACAAAGCATCTCATTTTATTAGTTTACACATTTGAAACTGCTGCTTGGTTGTCATTTTGTTCTAAACATTATCAGTTGATAGATTAATGATTAATTTTTACAGCTGTGTTTTATGAGTATCAGGCTTATGTAAGGCCGTTCCACACATGATGTGGTTTTTTTGATGACTCAACAGTTAACTGTAAACATCTTTCTAGTTTTTCCCGGTAAACTTTCTGTGATCATATCACTACAGAATGAGCAGGATTGTTTAGAAAACAAACTAATTTTTATTTTTTATTCACAATATATATTTCATCTCTTTGACACATCTGAGGTGTTATTTGTGAGATTTTGCATTAAATTCTCTCAATAATAATAATAATAATAATATTTATTTCGGTTACTCCCTTCTTCAGCGACTGCCACAGCGAGCAAACTCGCATGAAAGATTTGGCAACTTTCCTGATGTGACCTGGACTCGAACCCTCAACCTTACAAGACCACATCTCTACTGTCTCAGTAATAACAACTAGAGAACTGTAATTTTGTGTGAAAATGCAGAGTGCCGAATGTTGAAGAATGAATTGATAACTGAAATGTTTAAGATAAAACCAGCAAAACAGTAGCTAAAAGCTAAACGTAGCAAGGCAGCAGCTAAGCTAAAACTAGCAAGACAATAGGTATATAGTATGAACAAAAAGTGTGAATGCTGACTCTGCATTCACAAACATATATATGTATAATGTTTACTATTCATGCAAGTATATTAAGCATAAAATGCTGCAACAAAATTATACTTTTTTCATGGAGATAAGAGAAAAACAAACCTTGCCCTCCATGGCATCACCCTGCTCCTTCGTTAAAGCAATGAGCCTGTTGAGAACTTCACCTGAGACCAAACAAAAACGAAGGATCAACAGATCTGAATATTTATGGTACACAAATTATTTTTATTGTATAATACTCCAGCTTGAACTTAACTTTCATTTTCAGTTTTGTCAGTGCAGTTATTTTCAAATTTGCTAAATTACCATAAAAAGAGAAGAAGTTGTTTCTCACCATCTGAAAGAGTTTCATTTTCCTCTTTTTCTTTGACTTCATGCACAATTTTTTCCAGTTCTTCGGACACCTTTTCATAATATGCATACGTTGGCTCCACACTGACGACAGCTGTTGAGCAGAAGATCAGTTAGTATTGAACCCGAATAACAATACAGGATCAAATGCATCACTTCGGTAATATACAAATGTTTGCTTAATGAAACTGGTCCCTTACAGAAAAAAAAGCATGAATTTCCTGGGTTTTTACCACGTGATCATGTGAAAAACCATGGAATTACATCATAATGCTGAAAATGTTCCAGAAGCACATGGGAAATACGCTAAACATGTCTCACTTTTTAATTTAGCATGTTTCCTCAGATGAAAATGTGATTTTCTACATGTGAAGTTCTAACCAGGAAACATGCTAAATGAGTGTTTCATGTTTTTCCAAGTGTATTTTTTGTCATACCAGATGTTAATACGAGTTCTCACGTGTGAAGTTCATGTTGTTTTTCTGGAAAGGGTTGAAATGAACAAACATCACAGATACGGTTAAAATCAGACTTGCCTCCTACTCCGGTAATATCAGCAGCGATTAGATCTTTACCAAGTTTACTCGCTCTTTTAGAAAGTCTTTTTGACCGTTTTCTCCTTAAGGACTTTTTCCTCTTTTGTAAAGTAGCCGAAGTTGTCGGCAGGCAGGTTGTTACCGGTTCAGAGGCAGCAGAAACTGTCGATGGACAGTACTGATCATCGTCACTGTCTTCATCATTCTTTCGTGTAAAAAAGCCAAACAAAGTTTTCAAAAATGAAGGCTTCTTGTTCTTCTTTGTCACTTTTATTTTCTCTAAATCTTCAGGAGGTTTTTCAGGCACATCTGCCAGAGGTTTGGCCGCAAAAAACACATCATTGTTTTCAAGATTTATTCCTTCAGCCAAGAAAAGGGAAGGATCGCTGGAGGATCGCCGGTGCCTTCTGGCCATGGTCACCCACTTTTCTTTCTTCCCTGCCCGCTTTGTCCCCAGCGTGCCATCATTCAGGCTGAGGCTACGCTTGACGTACACCTCCAGCAGCCGGATCGTGTCTTTATGTGGCACAGAGATTAGCTGGCCTTGAGAAGGCCTTTGTTTTCCAGTTTGTGTTTCCATGGTGGGCTCTGAGAAAAAGAAAACACATACAAAAAAGTAACCATCTTTGAATCAAATCGAATCCATTTCAAATCAGAACTTAAAAAAAAAAAATATCCAGAAAATGTTGTGGAGCTCTATATTATGCAAATGTATTATTAAAATAAAATTAAATGTCTCAGTAATGGTTAAGTACAGCTTTTGACAACAAACCATTTCATCCTCTTAGACTCCTCGGTTGGTCTCTTTGTACCTAAATGGCTCAAATCATACTGTATTTCTCTGACAGACAAATTTCTGTTAGGATTATTCAATGCACATGAAAAAATTAAAATTATTTGTGGTGTTCCTCAAGGAGCAATTTTTGGTTCAATGCCTTTTTACATACTTCTTACAAGGAGACATCATCAGGTGGCATAACAATAATGTTCATAGCTATGCAGATGACAAACAGCTTATTGTTGCTGTGTCTCCTGATGATAAAAGCCCAACTGACTCTTTAAAACTGTTTGTTGACCTATTTTCGGTCACTTCGGCTAAAACAAACAACTTGTAGGTGGCAGCTGTTTACAAATTTTTATTACAAAATTTTAATTTGAAGGACACATTAACTTTAAATATGAAAAAAAAAGTATATATAGACCAGTCTTCTTTGCAATAAGTACCTTTATGAGTCCAATATGCATTATTTATTTATTCATTCATTCATTTTCTGTAAAATGATTTACTTGCTAAAAGTGCAGTGTAAGTAAAGTGTTTATATAATTTTATTGGTACTTATGAAACAACATTTTTAAATATGGTTGATATATCCAAAAAAGTTCAATCTGGTCCTCTGGACATTCAAAAAAAACAAAAACAAAGTATGTGTCACAAAGAGGCAGTTATCATAATTTTAATCCAATAATGGTCAATAAAATAGTTCCAACATTCTGCTCTCTCGCGCTGATTCTGAATATAGCTTGTATAAGAAACAATCCAGGAAATAAAACGACTCGGCTTTGAGAAGCTACATAAACTGTACATCTGTGGATTTTAAAGACATTTAAACTTTAATACACTTTAATACAGAGCCTCAGATCAGCACTATTTGTCTTTATAGAGAAATAAAACACATCACCACTGGACTTTTTTACTTGGGTTCAACACTCATCTAAATGATGTTTCTCACGAAGCTTGAGGACAATAAGGTGTGATGTTTTAAAGACATTTCAACTTTAATGCTCCTGAACACACCACGTCTCTTACACCTGCAGCATCACAGTTAATGCTAAGCTAAGATGCTACAGACGCAGCGCTCCTCTCAAGCAACCTCCTAACATGAATATATGTTTATGATCAAACCCCTGGTCAACCACTGCTCGCACTAAGCTGCTAAACTGGCGAGCGAGTAACACAGATACCACCACCTCCACCTGTGCGCGTTTTCTGCCGAGGCAGGAAGGGACGGTGGAGAGTTGGAGGTAACCAGGAAAACCTGGAGTGGAGTTCTAGTGGTTTGAGTATTCTCCTATTAGGCAAGTGGAATGGATTCGTTCACGAAGAAAGAGAAACTGCGCCGCCTGAACTAATGTTTTGTAGTAAAAGTGGGGGGATCCAAATGAACATTTTTTTTTTATGTGGGGGGGACTTGTCCCCTTCACATCTAATGTTTGCGACGCCTATGACTGAAAACAGGAAGACGAAGACCTTCAGCTGCTAGTTTCAACTCACCTTCAGCTGGCAGAGTCGACGGAGTCCACAAAGCGTTAGTTCAGTTTCAGCTCTGCTGGACCTGTAAAGGTCTAATCCAGAATGAGGGGACTCTCCGCGGTGAGTTCACCTGTTCACCAAAACTCCGCCCATCGCTGCTTGCTCATCACCTGCCTTCTGTCACCTGAGACCACATCGAGGCGGAGATAAGGAGAAATTATTGTTTCTACCTGTACATTTGTTTCCGCTCGTCCGTGAACGTCTCATTCACTTCAGCTGCGCAGCGTAAAAACAACCCACGTTTCCGGAAGTCAAGCCCAGAGTTTATTTCCTTTTACTGAACTCCTAAGCCCGCCCTTTTTAGGGAAAATGCTTAACTTTAGGCTTTATTTGTTCTAGAAACACTGTTTAAAGATGCGCTTTTATATCTGTAGGGCCTACTCATCAACATTATTATTATTATTATTATTTGCTGGATTTGAACCTAGTTTAAATTCAGATACACTTTACAGGAGTCTCAAAACAAGAATAAAGTCACATATGTTACTTTTATTCTTCTGTTTAAAGTTATTGAAATCAAATGGTGAAGTTTGAAAGAGTTTAAACCTGTAGTTTTCCAGGTGTACTGAAATACAGGTATGCACCCAGTGTAAAAGCCCTTTTATAGTTTGCCCTACAAATTTCAGTGAAAATGAACACAACACATAAATATAGCTATACATCTCTGACCCAAACATGTCTTCTATAAACATCAAGACTGTTGATATATTTTCAGTCACTTTGGCGGTTTATAGCTAAACAAATGCACGCAGCTGTTCAAAAGTTTAGCTTACAGCTTGGTATTAATAAGCCATCATTATAGACAAATATTATGTGAATTGTGTTTCTTTAGTTATTATGAATATTTTTAGACTTCATGAAATGGCAACCCTTAAAGCTATTGTTCATCTAAAGAAAAACAAAATAAACAAAATAAATTATATGATTTTGTCATGTGGTCTCTCATTGTTGTCCACATGGGTTCATGTGATTACATGAAAATGCCCCAAAATTTCACAGAAAAATGTGTAAGTATGTGTTTCTCATGTTAATTTCACTAGTTTTCACAGGGAAAATCCTGTAATTTTTCACACAGTTTTATTTTAAGTGAAGTTTCTGTGCAGCTTATATTTGTTACTTATCCACACAAGAATAATTTGTAATTTTTTAATATGTTAATTTTGTTTTTTCTCTGTAAAGGAAATGCCATCTTATTAGTATTTTTTTTAAATATTGAAATGCAGTGTTTTATTTTCCATTTCCCCCTTGAATACTGATACATCATCATACCATCATGACTAACTAATATTTGACAGCAATGAGCTGAAGTTTTGATGCTCTAACAATCGACATTTCCTGTAACCATTACGTCTTTCACATTTTACTCCAATCAGAGATTACACAAACATGAATTTCAGTCAAAGATTTCCTGGCAGGTGCGGTGATCAGAGATAAAGTATTGTAAGTCATTCACAGAGGATGGTTTCTGTTTGCTTGCTCCTCTGTTGACTGACAGTTTTATTGGCTTATGAAAATGACTTGAAAGTCAGTTGAGTCTTATCTGGCTCGCTCACTGAAATAGATCGTAGAAACTGCAAGCAAAAGTGCTGTAACTAATAAACTATCCATGAATGATAATAATTTGATCATCTGTCCTCGAGCCATGATTTATTCATTTAGTTTTTACTTTCAGTTAACCAGACTTTCTTTTGTAATCTATAGAGTGGTCTTTAGCAATATTTTCTCCAGACTTTCTAAACATTGTTTATTCATTTTATGTTTAATCATTTGAACTCCAGTGCCTGATATTTTTCAGAGTTTGATTCGACTCATTTAACTCTGAATCTTGCAGGAAGAAAACGGATTCATTCCTAAACTCGGGAACTGAGCCAGTGTTTTAGACATCTTACAATAAATAAAATAAATAAAAAACACTTTTTTATTGGACTTTTAGACACTTTGTTATTAGTAGCTTTTTAGAGAAACACAATTTTTCACTCATTTATTTTAACTAAATCTACAATAAGAGTCAAAGATAGCACAAGATATCAACATTTGTGTATATTCCCAGTCATCCAGAACACGGTAAATCTTGAGTCCTCAAAACGTTCTTCTCTGTCCAAAACAGAAACATTTCTGTCCTCAAAGAATTGTCCTTTATCCTTATGATCTATAAACATCAGAGTCTTGGTTTAAAACACTGCCTTCCTGTGTTGTGTCATGCACATAACATAACCTTGCAACTATTTTGAAGACGGGCTTGAAGCTTTCAAAGTTACTGCTCCTTTCTATTTCACTGATCTGCTGCAGCCATATGCAGCTCTCTCTGTCAGCAGACCAAATGTTTTTATTGGTTCCAGGCACTCGTTTTAAGCTCAGAGGTGACAGGGCCTTCTCTGTTGCAGGTCTAAAACTGTGGAATGAGTTACCGCTACATATCAGGCAGGCTCCCTCCCTTGCTGTTTTTAAGTCACATTTAAAAACATCCTTTTATTCCCTGGCTTTTAACATTGTACGAGTTGATTTTTACTCTATAATGTTAGTTATTTAGTTCTTATCTTTACATCTTTGGATCTATGTGTGTTTTGCTATGTCCTTTGCTTATTTGTTTCTGCTGTACATCACTTTGCCTTGCTGTTTTTAAGCACTTTATAAGTGGTATGGTATAAAGTAACAAAGTCCATGCTCAATAATCCAGGTATACAATCCAACATTTTTCAGTCAGGTCATCTGGACAGTTTCTTTTTTTGTGCTGAAACATTTCGCCTTCGATCCCGAAGGCTTCATCAGTCAAGGAAACACACAATAAAGCTGATTCTTCCCCCAACAGCTTACTCCAAAGTGGAACAAACCAGTTCTGCTTGTGATACGACCCCTCCTCTATTGCCGGCCGTCTTCCTTGTTGACAGTCCTGTCAAACTGGTTGAAAACAGCAAAGTCCACATTGAGATGAAGAAGATGAAGAAGGTGACCTAAAGTATCACCCAGGACCAGACAGCAGACAGAGCATTGGGTTAAAAGGAGCCCAGGGAGCTTTCCATGACTACAGCAGCCTGGAAAATTCAGAAAGTCTAATTAGAAATAGTGGATGACTGAACAGTCATCAAACCTGCTTAAGCCACATCAAGCCCATCAAAAGACAATTTAACCAACTCCTCTGTTATACTAGTACAAATGTTTCTATTTGAAACTAGATTACCTGT